CCTACTACACACACACGTGACTGACCGCTCGCTCGCACCAACAGGAGGAGGGGGCGTGTTACTCTCTACACTGCATTCAACCTGAGGGATTCCTACACTTTCAGTCTTTGAGGAGACATGAAAAACTGAGCATACCGCAGGAATGGTATAATGGAAAATATTAGTGGTTTTGAAACCGTGAAATTTTCAAATCGCGATATACCTTGAAACTGGTAATTGGCCCATGCCTAATGATCACACATAAAATCAGTAGTAACAGTTCGTAATTAACTCCATATCCTACCTTTTCTTGTAAGACGATAAAATCCATGGCAATGAATGTCATCGGAGATGCTTAATCCACAAGCATTCTGAGCATTATTCCTACTTGCTGCCTTTCACATCAATCCACAAGTCGTCCTTTTAGGTTAGGCTATTTTCATTCAATTCGATGTAAAAGTAATTAAGCTATCTCTTGCATCCTTTTACATTAGTGAACATTGCCAATAAACTGGTTGCAAAATGGCATCTACAGTACAGTAACTTCAAAATAGGGGTAAAATTTATTTTTTTATGTAGATCATTTTCATTACAACAAAAATATAATTGCCAGATTTCCAGTGTCCTACCTATAATTAGATTGGCTGGACAAACAAAATCTTTAAAGTAATTTTTCTCAGCTCCACACTCTAGCGAGTTATGGTGTTTTGTCTTATTTTAGGATACATTAAAAATACGCTGAATGGACTCAAAGATAAGTTACATGCTGATAACATTTAAAAAATGTGCATTTAAAAATGCAGTATATGACTCCTTGAGGTGGATAAAGTCAAAGAATAAATGTACAGATGCCCATCAAAGTCCTTTGATCTTCAGGATATCGGAGTCACATGACTTAATGCAGAGAAGAAAACAAAACCTGCTCTGGTTGTTTTAAAATTGCCAGAGCCAAAAATATTTACCAAGTTACATCTCAAAGCTCTCTGACGCTGTGCCAATCCCTGACATAAGGCATTTCTCACCAACTGCTAGAATATTTTGTAAACATATTACTTTTAAAGAGCCACTTTAGTTTGCCCAGTAGCTACAACTTCCATTTCTATTTTGCATCAAGTTTCCCAGAAGTGTGTGGGATGGAAATGCTGCTTTATTAGCTTTTTATTAACCGTTTTTGCAATATTTAGATTTTTCATTTAAGCCAAATTCACAACTTGGATAGAAACATTGCTAGTGTGATGCTATAAATAAAACTAAATGTAACTGTGATGATACAGCAACGAGATCTAAGCATGCTCTTCAACAATGCATGTTCACAATAGATCAAGCTCTCTGTTAAAACAAAAGAGCTACACTGGAATGTCAAGAGGAGGCTTGTGAATAGAACGTTAACAGTCTTTTAGTGGGGGAGGAACAGCAGAGAGATCTGACTGCCAGCTTTCATTCTGCTGGGTCCCAGGAAGCCTTCAGAATGATGGAGAGCTTTTCAAACACACCGTGATGGATGCCTCCCTGAGACACGGAGCGCCAGAGCCTCTCACTGCGCAGAGGTAGCAGGGCTTGGAGGTCAGGGAAGTGCAGGGCCTAATCCGCTCCTGATGGCCGTGAAGGTGCTCATGTTTGAAGGCCACTAAGAACCAATCACATGGCACGCTTCAGAAGAAAGCAAGGTAACAGAGACAGAAGTACCAGAAAAACACAACACTACAGCACACTTCACTTTGAGTGTCACTTAAAGGAACACACTCTGAAAACATCCATTAATCAAAGTCTCATGATCTTTCTTGAGAAAACTCAGAATGTGGTCATTAAAAGCTGCTGTCTGGTTTTAATTATTCTGAGGATTATCTGAAAGAGCAAAGCAATTCATTGCACTTCAGTCAATGGCCCTCTCGGGTCTTTCGAGCTCTTTGTGATTTACTCTGCAAAGTGGAGACTATGATGGGTTAAAAAAGCAAGCACATGGTTACTCCTGACACATATAAGCCGCCTCTGAGAGTCACTCTTACAGAAATATGGATTAATATGAAATATCTTATTGGATTAAAAAGCAAATCACAACCCACCTTGAGGTCTACAGGAGGTAAAGAGACAATTGGACACTATACTCCATTCTAACATGCCACTTATACAATACAAACAACTTCACAGATGATCTTAGGCCCGTCACTTATCATTTGTACATGACTACATTTAGATCTCGTCTCCTCAAAGCTCTGAGGTCGAGCCGCACCACCGAGTCTACTTGCTCTACGTGCCCTTTTCAAGAACCATAAATACTTCGGCTGCTACGACTGTTCTCCATAAGAAAAGGATGCTGAGCTGCAGAACAAATCATCCTTCAAACAGGCTTACACAAGATTAGCAATGTTGACATGCCCCAACAATCACTGGAGACCATGTTTCCAGACAGATTCTGGCCCCCTGAAATGTCACACTCATGTTGCAAACACATACCATACACTGTGAGAAGACATTGTCGTTGTCTAGTGGCCTTGTACAAGATGTGGTATTGCAGTCCCTATTTCTTCTAATTTTCCATTATGCTCAAGAGATTTAATAGATATTACATATAATTGCTAATATTCAATAATACTTGTTACTTAAAATACTCAAACCAATTTAATTTCCAAGTATCTTGCTTAGTAAGAACTAGGGCTGAACGATTAATTGCATTTGCGATAATATCGCGATATTAAAAAACACGATTTTTCAATCGCAGAGGCTGCGATTACACTCGGTCACGTGACACGCGCGAGTAAAGAGGTGTGTTCGACTTGAAGATCGATCGGTGTATGACATCAAAGTACAGCGAGATAAAAGTACTTTGATGACACACACAGATCGGTCTAAGCAGCGTTGCTTCAAGTCAAACACATCTAAGCAGTCTTCAGAGGAAGCGTCAAGTTAGCACGCTACAGTGTTGCCAAGTCTGCCATTTGGGGAACCCCTCCAAAAAAACGTGTATTTTACCCCCGGGAACGTGATTTTTACCAGTGGAACCCCCCTCGAAACGCAATTGGCCTAGTTTTGAGTAGCAATTGGGCGGGTTTTGTGGTGAAATCCTGGCAAGCTAACGTTACACGCGGAAATATTTGAAAGCATATATATTAAACGTACTTCAAACGTACTCCATCAGCAGAAAAAGAAAATAAATAAAACGGTAAACAGCCAAAGAATGTAACTTAGAATGGGAGATGGATCGGTTTGTGAAAGGGAAGAGAAAAGCCATAGATGAAGTCGCACAGACCCAGGCAGGTGCTGGTCATTTAAAAGCTAAAAAGCTGATTTTTTTATAGGTTTAAAGGGGGGGGCGTGACCAAAAAAGTTTGAGAACCACTGGTCTAAAGTTAATAGACAGTGTTTACTGCAGTCCACATGTTTACATATGTTTATTACAGTGACTCTGAATTGCCTAAAGTAGTGTGGTAAAGCAACAGATTTGTTTTTATATTTCGGCAATCTACTTTTGTTAGCATTGGAACATATAGGCCTGGCCTACGGAAAAGAACATTTATGTTTAATCTATCTAATATTGTGTTGGTCATACTATATAATGATTTATAGGTTGTCTTCGTTGAATAATACAGAGCATAATGAGCTTTAAAAAAATAAATCGCAATCGCAATATTGGCAACAAAAAAAAATTAATTCACAATTAGATTATTTTCCAAAATCGTTCAGCCCTAGTAAGAACTAAGTAAAGCATTTAAACAAAATTCGATCAATCAGGCCCTTAACCCTTTCAGACACAATGGCTACTGGGAAAAACACCTAATTTTTTCAAACCATTTTAAGAACATGTCCAATGTTTTAAAACAGTAGTAAAATTAGCACACAGGAACTGGTGGCATTAACGTAGCTTCTATTCAAAGTTGGCTGCACACAGCTGCTGATGGAACTTCTCTGATCTAGCTCACCAGCTAAACACATATTTCTCAGTTTATCACACTACTCTACATTTTATTGAAGGTAAAATGTTGAAGATCGAGAGTTTGTAAAATGAATGATGCAACTATAAATTTCATAAGGTAAAAGGTTTTTCCACAGCAACCACTAAGATTATGCATAAAATGAGGTGGTAACACGCAGTAACCACAAAGCACATGGGAGTAACACCAAATCACATGGAAAAAATGGTTCAAAATATTGTAGGTTTCACAATTTACAGGAAACACTGATTAATGCACATGTAAATGTATACCTGATTCTCATGCGCATTAGTTGGATATGGAATTTCAAACCAATCTGATCTTTATGACGCCAAATCTAAAATGCTTTCAACTAACAAAGTTAAATGTTATGCAAAAACTACTGCACTAAGTGCACATAATCACTCAAACCAACCAAACAAACAAAAAAACTAAAACAAGTTAATGGTTTCTAAGAATGAACTGACACAATGTAATGCGTAGTGGTCACTAGGAGAAACTGCTTCAAAATGGACCTCTGACCCCCAAGCCTAAGGAATTTAAACCCACAAACATTTAGTTTGATTAGTCTGTTACTCATTCATGACAATATCAATATATTGATACAATACCAGCGACACTTGTGACTTTAAGGGGTCAGAGCAAAATCAATAGAAAGCTGGTGGAAATTTGGTGCCTAAAAGGGTTAAGACTGAGATACTTCATATATATATATATATATATATATAAATAAATGTAGCATTCAAATAAAGCCATACTAAAAATACAGTTCTCATATATTATCAACTATCAATGAATTCATAGCATACTGGCTGGAAAACAACAGAGCCTAATTCTATCATAACAGGCACTAAAATGAATTACATATATTTACAGTGCAATAGCAGTTAGTCAGCTCACTAGGTTCAAGACACAGCCTACATGTTGGAAAATACCCACACACACTCATCAGCTGAGGTGTAGTTGCCCCTGTAAGAGCCCCAGTGACCCCCCAAACATTCAGCAGTCGGGGGAGGAACTCAGAATGAAATTGCCCGTATAATGTTAGATCAGCGACTGCGTTAAGGATAAAGAAAACAAAAGGCCACCTACAGTGATTCGAGCCGCTCCAGTGCGGGGTCCTGAACCCGCGGGCCGCTCCCGACACGAGGCCTTTATCCGGGATCAAACAGCCGCGGTTCTGGTGGTAGTAATCCATGCTTAAAAACGGGTTCGGACTAGGGGTCAGTCCAACAACGTCCACGCTCTCGTACATCGTGAAATCAAACCAAATATTCTCCAAAAGTAAATGCTTCCTTCTTGACGAAGCAAAAATAATCGAAATGTGATGTATAACTGAAAAATTGCAGGTTAAAATAAATAAAAATAAATAAATAAATAAAAAACCCTATTCAAAACAATAAAATTGGAGCAAAAAGTGGGATTTCGCACAATAGCGTGAATAAGAACTTGAAGAGAGACGATGTTCTTCTCGGTGTGTTTATGAAGCTCGCGCTGTCCACGGGGAATGAACTACATTCTTCAGATTTTAAAATCCTGCGCCAGTTGTTGCAACACAGCGTGCTGTTGAAATTGTGGCTCTATGTGTGACCCAATGATCGATGTGAAACTGCTACATGAGTATAAGCAGAGTCCCGCGCGCAGCCCGTGGAAACGTCCGAAAACTCTTAACAGCGACCGTCTTGAAAAGCTCCCAAACGCCTCCTTGCCCCCAACGAAAGGTTTTCTAAATACTATGCGTTAACAGATCGACGTATTGACGCATATTTACTGTAAACACGCAGTCGTCCGCGTCGATGAGAGAGAGCGCTCGGTCTCGTGAATAATCCCGTTGGAGGGCTGCCGATCGGACACGGGAAGAACTTGCTCCTGTGTTTCCAGACCCTGCGAAGACGCGAGCTCAAAGTAATGTCTTTTGCATCTTGCGTCGAACCCCTCGCATACTTGTGGGAAATTTCTCCCTGAAAAACAAAAGCGCTCTTCGACAGGATAACTCCGGTCTTCACGCACTTTCCAGGCTATCCCACACCGCAATGCTTGACGGCAGCTGCGCACAAACTCCGCCCACATCAACCCCCACTCGGAGTGTTCCGCTCTCTGATTGGCTGCTGATAAAGTCTTATCAATGTGCCATCTAACAACGAGGATCCGCCGCCATAACAGGCTAAAGTATAAAGTTTGTACATACACGTTTACATTTATTTGACTGCTCCTTTCTAAAAAGTAAAAAAGTTATCTGGACTTTAGTACAGTTGGGCTAAGAAGTTTTAAAAGAAATACTTTTATAAGTATAATTTTATAAATCTTTGTTTTATCAAAAATTATTTTGATCAAGCTTAATTAGGTCTACTGTATTATCCATTGAGACAAAATGTTTAACTTGTTATGGACAACTACATAATACAACTAGCCTAATACAAACGTGTGTATAACCATTGCAAGAATTGAGATATTATGTATCCCTTAATCTTATAAATAAATACTTACGGTAATAGAGGAACTTGTAGTTAATAATAATAGGACTATATATATATATATTAGTGTACATTTTGAGACTGATGTATGAAATAAACTTTTATATACAGTGGGTACGGAAAGTATTCAGAAATTAATTAAAAGGTATATTGTTGAGATCAATACTTTGTTCTTCAATTCTTTGTATCTTTTATTAAATCAGCAGTGGAGATGAAGATCAGGCATAGGTCGTGGATATCGAAGGGGACTTCTACAATCTTTGAGTACCCATGCTTCTTGAATATGCCAAGTGTGGTAGGTCTCATTGCAGTTCAGTCTTTACTTATTTTCTTCCGTTACTTAAAGGGATAGTTCAACCAAAAATGGAAATTCTGTTATCATTTACTTACCTTCATGTTGTTCCAAACCTGTACGAGTTTTTCTTCTGTTGAACACAGTCATTTTCATTTTTTGGTGAAATATCCCTTTAAGATATTTTAACAGGCAATGTAAAAGTTCTGATATTGTTAGTAACACTGTTTTTTTTTTTTATATATATATATAGAAAGATTGAGAAATTGAAAGCTGAAGCTACCATGGAAAGGAATGACTTTGCATCTCTTATAGAGGGGATGGAAGACCAAGCAAATGGTATGTATGTGTGAACTCTTTACTTACACACATCTCTTGTGTATAATTTATTATAACAAATATTCATTAATATATGACTTGACCTGAAGAAGGACAGATGCAGGTAATTGCACATGTTGATCTCTGACTGTTTAGGTTTCTTTAGTGCAGATCTATGGAGCCGCTGTACATAATCACAATGGTACACAAAGTCTTAAAGAAAAAAAACACTCTCTTCATATGATCACCTCTTCCAGTAAATGCTGTCCCTGTAAAGAGCAGACACTCACTGACCCCAAGACTGCTTTATCAATACAAAGTGAGGTAAACAACACATTGCAACACTATCTAGTTTCCCACCACAAAATCCATAGACGCTGTCTGGAGAGTAGTGTTCATAACAAGGCAATGAACACTCGGGCTGCAGCCCAACAGCATCCGTCAGCTCAACGCACCAAGGTTGCTGCCATCCACTGATGGCTCCATCCATCAGTGAAACGACGTATTAGCCTCCCCTTATTTTCCGGCTTCAGCCCTCACATTTTTGTCCTTGACATGTAAGAGGTATTGTACTGATTTTTCACCATCTAAAATATTAGCCTCCACACAAAAGGCCGCTCATTCAATAAATACACGTTTATTAATGGACAGTCCTTTTAATCCAACCAGACCCATATAAATCTTTCTATGAAATGGTCAGGGAGGAGGGAACTGGCTGGCTTTAAATAATACTGCTTTATATTTGTGCCAGTTAAAATGGTTATGGTCATTTCAACTGGTCATTAGGTTCAACTGGTCATGCAAATTTTCTGTGTTATCTGTGCTTCATACATACATTGCTACACTATTGACAGTGGAGCACTTTGTTCAAGCGAAATGTCGCTAATTTGACCGTGACTTCACATAAAATAAGCTGAAATTTGACTCCAACTCTCTAATTTTAGTAACTTTGCTAAATATTCCATTATCAAGATTGCACAGTTTTGAATTGACAAATAATGTAAGTACACCAACATAGGGCATCTAATTGTGTGGCAATTTAGAAAAGGATAAGTCATAATCATGTATCTCAAAAACAACAACAGACTACCTAGGCCTACATAATAAGCTACATATGTCATTGATGGAGGCAAATGACCTGAGATTCTCAATACCTTGAGACTGCAGGAGTCGAGAGGGGCAGTAAATCGGGGGAGGAGCGGGGTTGTATGGCGGCTGTTAGGAATTCAAAGACTTTATGGGGCTTTAGGAGGAAATCCATGAGAAAACCTGCTGGCAACTTGAAAGTGTGAGGCTATTTATTACCCTCAATCCACCTCCCCCACCTCACTTCCTCTAAATACACATAAAAAAGCTTTTTTATTTTCTATTAAGCTCCACTTCTTATCAATGCTGCGTGATATATGTTAAGAGCGAATGCACATTCTCAAGAGCACATATTACGCAATGTCAATGCTATTAGATTGGGTTTGTGAGGTGTTAGCATACTGATAGCATGCAGTTTTAAATGCTTATCATTATTCTGTCAGTCACATGACCCAGTTTGTCCCAGAATGCCCGGCCCTGATGAACAGATGGGTGTTTGCATTCACTCACAATGCCTTTAATCTGTCTGATAGGGAGGGGCCATCATTCAGTCCTGTTACAATGAGCGCCTGTACTGACTCATTATATAGTAGCACAGTATGGATGTGCCACATGCTATTAACAATGGACAAAGGTCAAGAAAAAGATAACATTTGACATTCTCAACGGTGACAGCTTTTGAACTCCAGCTATATAAAAAATACATATGACAAAGTGAACCATTTTCCCATAAAATGCGATCACACAGGCAGTAAGTTTAATCTGAGTGACATAACCTTGATCGCAATCTCCGGACATGCACGCTATTAACTCTTCTGTGAACCAATTTCTGGTTCTGGTTCGCTGAAGCAATTTCCTGAAAGTGAGTGACATAAAAAGAGGGTTATTTCTTATATAGTCATTAATAATCAAATGTCATGGAGCTTTGTAAATTATGATACAATATAAATGCATTGAAAGGTTTGTGCTGTTACTATATGCCAGCTGATGCTTACTGCTGTGGTAAACATATGGTGGAGATTAGCTACTGTGAACCTCCCTGCCAGATGTGTAATGTTAGCAGGTGAAGGCTATTGACCAGTCCGCAGGGCCACTGATGATCCTGATTGCTTGAGCAGTCCCATCTCATTACTCTTGGCTCAAGGTCAAGGATTAAGTGATGAGAATAGATCCAGCCTCTTACCATCCTTATGGTGAGTTGTTTGATTGTTTGAATGTGGGTTTGTGTACTTGAGGGTGAATATGTGAGACATTTACATTGTCATTACAGATTTATAGTCATACAGTCATCAGACTTTAAAAAGTTAGTTCACCCAAAATAAGAATTCTGTCATAATTTACTCATCCTCATGTCAACTGTATGACTTTATTTCTTTTGTGGAACACAAAAGGCGATATTTTGGAAAATGTCTCAGAATATATATGAGAGTCAGGTATGGAAACCCATTTCCGCCATATAAGAAACATAAATCATGTTTTGGTAAATCATAATTATGACAAAAATTCATATTTGTGACACAAGTTGACAAAATCATTTGAAGTCATGAAAATTTGAGATACTAAAACAATTAAGAGACATAAAGTCAGAATATGTTTAAGAGAGCTAATATTGACAAAATTTACATGAAATTATCAGATAAAAAGTTATAAGATATGAGTTACGAAATAAGATACTAAGCCATAATTATTAGATAAAGGTCAAAATGATGACAAAAACTTTAAACTATAAGATAAAAAGTCATAATCGTGACATGAAAAGCCAAAGGTTTTAATGTCATAATTGACATTTTGCATCATAATAATAACTTTTTATCTCATAATTTGGACTTTTATGTCATAATTATTATTTACCAATGCATTTTTTTCTTATGTGGCAGAAATAGGCTTCCATAAAAAGGTGACTAATATTGTTTTGGAGCCCCATTGGCTTTGATTATATGGACAAAAACAATTGAAATTAATTGTCATTTTTGGGTGAACTATCCCTTTAATGCATCTCTATTTTGTCATAGTCAACAAATTTGATTTAATCTTATTCTGATGACCTGGTGATAGGCAGTTTGAACATGTTCTGCTATGATTAGGGTGCGGCATGACTGGTCAAGGCCATCTCACCTGTCCCCCTGGCTATGCATCATAACACTCTATTTGACCTGCTGACCCCTTCTGACCCGAACAACAGATGAACAGCTCAATGACACATGGCTGTTTGTATAAGATCAGCTGAGTATGTTCAAGGCATATATATGTATGATTTGTCTGAATATGATGTTTGTGTCCACCAAAATTAATTAATACATTTTTCTGTCCTGTACTACGGTATGATTTTTGTTATCATCTAACACATCATACTATATAGTCGCCTTAACAACCCCACGATTAACAGTTCTTAACATGATATCATTGGTCTTTTGCAATGTATAGTGACCTATTTGACCTATATGATATTGCCCGGGCACAGATCGAGTGCAATAGGGAAATGTGCCAAGCTGGTTCAAATGTTAATGGTCCATCTGAAATCCACTGCTTAGCCAGCAGGTTGGGGAACAAAAGCCCCATAGAGGTGCAGCTTGCGGGGTCTGGACATGACAAATGCGGCCAAGAATGGGGCAGCGGTTGCTGTGGAGCTCTGGGGAGGGAAAAGCGGGGGCAGTGGAATGACCTACCAAACCCAAGCCTCATTGAGGGCGTCGCATCGGGGGGCAGCGGGGGTCACCCCATCATCATCACCATTTCAAAGAGCCTAAGAGCGAGGTGAAGCCGAGTACAGGGTGGGGGAGGTCCGCTGACCCCGACCGGTGTCCCCGCACTACTCCATCTTCTGCGGATGGTAACAGCATGAAAGGAAGCCCCATCATCTCTAC